ATACTGTTGCCATTATTCTAGGAGAACACGTAATTTTTGCCATAAGGACAAGTAGTCAGAAGGAACTTCAAAGTAATATTGACCTTAAACCTGACTCAAATGTTCTGAAAAATTAATATAATCAGGCTATATTTCCCTGCAAAATACTTTTTGTCTGAATTTCACAAGTAGATGATTTAGATCATATTTTTCCCTTGTTTCATGTTCAGCAGCAATAACTTTCCTTGGAAGAAAACCATTGAGCTGGTAAGGTACCATGATGGAACACAGGTAACATCCTGGCTATGAGGACTGGGTCACTTTCAGAAGGTTGTATCAAACACATACAAAAAAAACCCAAAGTTCTTTTTTTTCTGGTAATAATCTTTAAAAATGCTTGTTGGAGGATTTGTATAAGTTTCTAGTTTTCTCTTTTTACGAAAGTTGTTTATGAGAGTATTACTGCCTTTATGTTTATCCCTAAAGGTTGTTCTGGTTCCAGTGGAAAAGGATTTGGGAAGCCCAGGAGTCTAGACTAATATTCTGGTTTGGTTCTCAGAATGTGAGGTCAGCACAGGTGGGCCAAAGCAAGGCCATGGTTTTTATCTCTAGCACGAAGACCAGGAGGGTCTTACCAAGTGCTCTCTGCCCTTTGGGAAGCCCAACCCTGTAATATGGAAACTTCCTTATGGAAGAAAGCATCATCTGTGGCCAAATTCTCTGGCATATCTTAGCATTTTCTGCCGAAGTGCCAGGTGGGGCTGAGGAGAATGAAGATGTATCCCTGGCACACTAACATGTGTTTCTGTATGGCCCCTAATCCCATGACTCTTTATCTTTCACAGCCTTAAAACTGGTTTTATTCTATATTTTTTCCTTTTGGTAATCAGTCTTAAACATCAATTACACATGAGCGATAAATGGCCTCAGTGTTTATCCGTGGCTTCATGCATGACTCACTCGCACTGACTCTACTCAGCAAACATTCAGGCACGTAAGTGAGGTAAAAGCCCCACACCAGGCATGTCACCACTAGTTCTGCACAGAATAGCCAAACATCTTACATGAGAAACACCTGGGAACAGCCTTTGCCATCACACACGTGGACACCTTGGTACAAAGGTTATTCTTGACTGAGAAAAAGAAATACATCGTAATTGGTTTACATGCACATTGCAGGAACTGATACTGTAGTCCGCAGTCAGTGCAGAGAAAAGTCCTGTGTCACCATCAGACAGTGGTAAATTTCCCCATGGAACCTCCACACCCCATACCTAAAGACTGGAGCACAGAACTTGGCACAAGGCAGAGGTTCTAAAGCTAATTATTGAACAAACGTGTGACATGTGGATCTGTCCCTATTCCATAGGGATAGATCATGTCACTCTCCCTTTTAAGAATTGATTGTTTGAGAAGGTTCTCTCTGAGAAAAAAGTGCAAAGGGATTCAGAGCCCATGGGGCATCATGGCCAACGGTTCTCGGTGGGGACTTCTGTCCAGGTATGTTCTGGACTGAGTGTCCATGGACACCAGTCACCTTTCTAGTGTCAAGGAGCAGCATGAAATAATGTGAAAATGACACCTTAATGAAACAAAAGCATCCTATCAAGAACTTTCAAGTTACTAAATTTAAAAAAGTTCGGCTATTTCAACTCAGCCAAAGCCTTGGGCATTTTGAAGCCCATCCATCAGAAAAGTAATATGATAGCCAATTCAAGTTGACTCCTCCTAGAGATGAGTGGCCCAGGACCTCATGTGTTCAAAGTTGGGAGGCAACAGGCCAGAGGGTAATAAACAACCTCACTCAAGATGCTACACTGGGACCTCTCAAGGACACCCTGGGGGCGTGGACACTGTCCCTGTGTGGGTCTGCTCTGGGTCCTCAGCTTAAGTACTTGGGTTAAGGACCCAGAAGAGTTCAGGCAAGGGTCAGGGCACATATATAATTGGGCACAAATCCTGCATTTGATTCCTCTTTATCTTTCTGGTATGGGATTTTCTTTGATATTCACCCTCAGGGTGATAAGGCATTCCTCCTCTTCCCAGTCTTTCAAGCTGGGCAGAGATGAAAGTTACCTTCCTATCTAAACTGACACGATTCTGAATCCATCCGGCTGCACTTGGAATCACCTAGATATTACATGACCCGGGCGCTTTATACCGTTTCTAAGCTGGGTTTTTCCTTCAGCCTGAAATGTCCTTCTCCCACCCCCACTGCCAGTTAATTCCTACTTGTCCTTTAGGGCTTGGGGGCCACTGTCATCTGCCCACAGGGCTGGGTGAGGAGCCCCACCAGAACTTGGGGCCCCACAGCACCCACACTGAGCACCTCCCTTGACTGTGACCAACTCAGTGACAGTTAACTTTTATTTCTGCAACACCTTGCTCTGAAAATACAGCAGTGCTGAATGAATGTGTACTGGGTGAATGGCCACCTGGGTGAGCACGAGCAGTATCTCTCGTACATGCCTTCCAGAATGCCAGACCTGGGTTACAGGCTAGTGTTTGATGAAATTTGTTAGCTAGTGATTCATCCACGTGTGAGCGAGCATTCCATGGACATCTTCAATAAACAGCATCCACAATGACATGAAATTATGCTCACAGACCCCAACCACAAGGATTTGGAGAAAACAGCTTTAGACTTCAAAATGAAGGTGTGACATTTGGCAACTCTTCAGAAGGACAGAACTTTTATAGGTGGGTGAAGCTAACTGAGCTTATCTTTCTCTGAAGGTTTGCTAAGGCTTTTGTGAAAGAACACTAAACCACATGTCAGGGTGGGGACCACTACACCCTGGAGGATTCCAGCATCTACCATTCTATGGGGGACTGGCTGCCACAGCCCCAGAGGCCTGATCTCCCCAGGAGGAAGCCTGCACATTCACGCCCATCTCCCTTCTGTGTATGGTTGGGGCCAGGAATAGGGTGGGATGGAGAAGGGAGAGAGCAGAGGAAAAGGACATTGCTGTGATGGGAGGAATGGATGTGTTCATGCCAAGATCAAAGGCCAACAAATGGATTAGACACTGGGGGAATGCTTTTGCCCTGATCTGGGTTCTCTCAAAGTTGTCTGCTATGTGGCATACAGTGGAAGTTTACAAAGGTGTATGGTGGAACCTTCCTTAATGCTCTACAGAATTGCCCAGGGGGCAGAAGTGGGCACGGCTGTGCTTGACCTGCCTTCCACAGAATGGAGCAATTGTAGTCAGTCCAGTTTATTGGAGCTCAGCACAGCATTCAGTTTACATAAAAGGTTCTAATGCTGCTTTTTAAAAAAAATCAACAGTAAACACTTGCCAGCTGCTGAGGTCTCGTTCCTAATAACCGTCCTTGCTGCACAGTTGCAGCAGGCAAGGTTAGTTGCATGGCAAACTGGAGTTAGGATCCATATACAGAAAGTAGCAACAGACAAAACGAAGAGCAGACGTTACCAAAGGTTCAGAGCAGTGCTGTCCACAAGAACTTTCTGTAAGGAAGAGTTCTCTCTCTGCAGCATCCAACACGGGACCCCCAGTCACATGTGGCAACAGGGCACTTGAAATGTGGCTAGCGGGACTGATGGCTGAAGTTTTGTTTAATTTTCACTAATTATATTTAAAATTTGAATCAATGCCAGTGGCCTGTGGCTACTGTCCTGCATGGTGCAGCTTTGGAGGGCACCTCCCCCACACCAACTTGTTCCAACATCAGCTCCTTTAGCTTTCCTCGGGAGCCAGGCAGCAGGCACAGGTTCTCACTCAAGCTTCCTGTTCCACAGCCTGGGCACCTATCTTTAAGTCCTGAAACCAGCCCTTACAGGGCCTGAAGTGTAATTTTTAATGTCATTTTGTATTTGCATTTGCCCCTGGTTTTGTTTTCACAGGATCCTGCAAAGCATCTGTGCAACAGGCTGCCCTTTCCAAAGTATCTAGAAGGAATGTTTCCTCCAGACCAGGTCTTCTGTCCAAATAGAGAAAAGGGGGACGTGCACAGACTTCTCTCTGCCTTTCCTAGAGGCCCACTCTGTGGGACAGGGAGGAACAAGTGTGATTCTATCCCCTTGTTGGGTGGAACTGGACTGATACACTTCTCTTCAAAGCAGTTGTGGGAATTAGAACAGAAGCTTTTCAGCTCAGCTCCACTCAAGAAGTTATCTTGGTGATGTCACTCTTGGTGACGTCGGGTGAGGGGACACTCACCCTCCGGGTGACTTGCCCGCCTCATGCTCCCCTCATTGAGTATCAAGCAGGTACTTCCCTGTACATCATAAGCTGGTGGCCACCAGGACGGGAAATCAGAAATGCTCTCCCACCTCTGGGCGAAGCAGCCCACAGCTGTGAGGATGGTTCCAGTGGAAAGACTGTGAGGTCCATCAGCTGAACCCCGCCCACCTCTCCACGCCCAGAGTTGGAGGAGGTCTGCATCTGGGACACGGGAGATGCAGTGACTCTGCAGCCTCAGCCGGTGGATGCATGGCAGACGTCCTGGAACATGAGACTTCATGCACGTTTTAGGGATCTGTGTAAACGCTATTCTACTCTTACTGACGGAAAACTCAGAAACAGAAAACCTCTTCCATCCATAGGTAAAAATGATGTGGCAAAGTGTCTTCATCACCGCCTCTGTGTGCCGGACAGACGAGGGGCTGGCACATGCTGAGGGGCGGGGCTGGTGGGACAGGGCCGCTACTGTGTGAGAATGGACCTTGGGGCCTAACCCAGAGGGCCACAGGCAGACTGTTCATGTCTAGGAACCTAAAGATGTCATTCTGGCTAAAATGTCCTTCTCTGCCTTTCAGAAATCCTAAGACTGTGGTGCTGGGGCCCTATTTACTATTAATTACTCCTTAAATGTGAGATGCAGGGAAGGCACGTGATCGTTGGCTTTTGGGTAACATAATATACAATAAGACTGGCTTTGGGGCAATAAAATATACCACACTTGTAGGAGGTCCAGTAGCTGCAGCAACACCTTGGGGCCCACACTCACCCGTCCACCAGGCGTGGCCCAGGTCACCTTTCCTCGGGCCCTGAGCTCACCTGTGCCCCGAGAGTGGCTGAAGTCACCCTTCACCACGCGGCAGGTCTTGCCGTCCCCGCTGCAGACCCCACACCGGTCTTCTTTGGCCGCAGACCCGATGATTCCATCACAGCCGATTTTCTAAATAAGCAGAGCACTGGGTTATTCTGGGTATAGGACTCAGAGACACATCCTGCAGGGCTGACTTCTCCATGAGGCCCAGCAGGCTGGCGCATGGGGGCCTATGATACCTCCAGAGGCCCAAGCAAATGTCTTAATTTATTTTAAAATCAGAAGAGAAAAAAGAATACGATCCAAATAGTATTACATTTGTCTTTACACCCACAGAGTCATCAAATACAGGTTTTAGTATTTGTCATGGAGGAGGGGCCTGCGAAGGCCCAAGTGCCCTGAACTCACACTGAGGCCTGAGCCGGTCCCTTCCAGAGCTGCCTGAGGCGGGGCTGAGGGGAGGGAGGGAAGCCGCTCCCACACCTTCTGTTGTGGCCATAATTTCACACAATCCACGATCCCCTCGGAGCTGCGTGGGTCCTTGGTTCTATCTCAGTTGGAACAGCCAACAGTCTCAAGACACAGCAGAGACCACAGTGACTTTTCTGCTGAGGTCGGGAAGCCCAGAGCTCACTCAGGCATGGCTGGGAATGAGCACCCTAGTTCTCAGGGGGATTTAGCCCAAGAAGATACCCTGCTGCTCAGATTTTTTCAATGAGGCCTGTCTGAAAGCAGAGGAGGGTCGCCCTGACCCTGGGTGGCTCCGGGCAGCACAGCCCACATCAATTCATAAAAAGTGGGAAATGGTTGTGAACTCCTGTTTTTCCTCATAAAAAAAAAAAAGGCACAAGACTTTTGTGGTCTGCAAAATAACATACCTAAGTTTATGTTATGGTAAACACTGGTGTGTTTATTTGCAAGCTAAATTGCTAAAATGCCTCTCCACATTTCTCCCCTAAAGTGAAGAATTCCAAAACAAGAACTGGGTCTTCCCCACTGCCCTGTACCCTGCACTAAGTACTGGTGCCTCAAGCTGTGAAGGGTTCTACAGCCAGATAACCCAGGCCAAGGTGATTGTGCTCTTTCCTCCCTCCTTACACCCCACTCCAACCGGGGCAGGGCACGGGGCAGAGCCGGCTGAACAGCAGACCTCCTGGAGGCAAAGGCTTGGCCCCATGGCTCACCAACTGAACCCTCTGCTTCATAAAGGCAGTGCTTCTTCAACAGAAACGTGCATCCGCCTCACCAGGAGGGCTGTGAAAACACTGATGCGGGATCCATCCCTAGAGTTTCTGATCCAGCAGGGCTGGGTGGGCCTGAGAATCTGTATTTCTATGAAGTTCCCAGGTGATGCTGCTGTTGCTGGCCGGGACCACACTTGGAGAACCCTGGCACCGCGGAATGCTACACGAAGAGCAAGTGAGTGTTCTTCATAGTCAACGGTCCTGAAGTCTCACCCTTGGATCCTTTTGTTTCTTTGGGAAAGAATTAATGAGAAATTACTATCGTGTGTACAAAATTGATAGCATCACTGAATATATTTCAGTGAAGACTTGAAGATATGCTAAGTGCAGAGCAAATGTGGTCCCCAAATGACCATTATGAAAACTGAAAAAGGGTAGCATTTAAAAAAAAAAAAAGAGCTCAAACGTGTTCAAAGTTAGTATAAAACCAGGTAAAGGGCAAGATCAGGGGCTTTAGCAGCCAGAGGCCAGGCAATGAGCAAAAGGAGAGAGTGGACGTACGGGTGATTTAGTGACACATGGAGACCCGATGGTAACTGGCACTGACTGTCATACCTTGCCAGGGCAGACCACCAATGCGACCTGGAGACTGCCACAGGCTACCTTGAACTTGGATCATGTGGCAGGAGCTGGTTAAGTTCACGATCTGGACTGCTGGCTGATTGCTATGAAGATACTTAATGTAAAATTACAGGCGCTAAGAATACAAGGCAGCCAAGATCCGAAATTTTGCTCAGCCAGCATGCTCAGCAAATACCCCGGGGCCACGTCTGTGTGGCCACGTGTGTGCTGCCCATCTTCATGTCTCCTCGTGTCCCAGAGCCCAACGTCCCAGTCCCCAGCCTGTTTCTAGTGCTGCCACAGGGCTCACACCCATAGAGCCAGCCCCTGTACCTTGGCTGCTTTTGTGTCACCCTGACCTGTCCCCACGTGGCTTCTCCATCTCCCAGGTGCTCTCAGCTCTAGACTTCTTTCTCACTGGCTTTTTATTATTTTTTAATCACACTCCTGCCCAGCAATAGTGGGTCTCTAACTTGAGCAGGTAGCATCCGATACCTTAGTCAGGGTTTCCTGATAAAAGTTTTCTAGATGCTCTAAGTTAACAACCCACTTGTTCTAGACAGCTTCCCCCAAGCCCAGCGATGACACCTGACAAATCTGGGGCCACACAGCAAGTGACTGGCAGGGCCAGGAACAGTCCCTCACCTCCTGCCTCCCAGCTCCAGGCTGGCTGGATATCTCCCCTGACTGTCCTCAGCCTGCTGAGGCCTTCTGGACAAGGTAAGGCCTCTCCCCAAAGTATGCTGGCTTTGTGAGAATTTGGAAACGTTCAGAATAGAGAAGCTAAAAGAACACCAGAAACACTAGCTTTGGGGAAAGGAAATGTGAGGGGAGAATCCACGCTAGAATTTCAAAAGGCTACCTGTTGTCTGGCTAAGAGATCATGGCTAGGAGGCACAGTTTGCATCTGAAATCTGCCAGACCAAGAATTCACCTGAATGCAGGAAGGACAGGCGTGGGAAGTGCTTCAGGGAGCAGCGCGACAAGGGACTCACTGGGAGGAAGGGCCTTTAGCAGGAGAGCACACATTTTCCTAGATGAGCAAACCGCTTTCCCTCCAAAGAGTCCCCTGAAAGAAGGATCTCGGTGGGAAAGAGAAAAGTGATAGTGAGGAAGGGCAGTAGCTTAAGTGAGTGCTTATAAAGCCCCTGCACAGCCAGACCAGCATTAGGTGTCCTCGGGATGTTGCTCCAGACAAGCAGAGGCAGGTCAGGGGGGCAATTGTCTCCCCTCACTGTGATTCTCACCATCGCTCCTAAAACATAATATAAAGAACATGTACACGCTTGCTCAGTAGCAAGGCCCCAACTGGCACTGAGATAGACCTCACGGGATCTAAAGTTTAAGTACATGCAATGTTTGGAATTGATTTCCTTTTTTTCGGGGATGAGGTCACCATCAGTTAGGAGCCCAGCAAGGCCTTGATATCTGCGGGACTGCCGGAGTGCGCTGCTGCCTTGTGACACTTGGGCACACTTGGCCTGCAAGAAGCTAGCCCTGGCCTCTGTTCCTAGAGTCCAGGTTATTCACAGGTAAGTCCAGGGGCCCACTGTCATCTATTTCTCTCAGGAGGTGCTGCATGATCCTTTCCGAAACATGAGCCACCTGCTTATTTTTCCATTGGGGTGATAGGTCTTGAGGGTTAAAATTCGTCTATTAAAATGGTACACCCTTTCACACAATTCTTGCTCTGCACTTGCTAAAGGGAATAACACCTCCTGGTTTGATCATCTGTGGTCAATTTCTAGGGCAGACAGATAATCTCCTGGGCCCAGGAACACAGATCACGTGGAGTGGCTTATTAAACTCCAGCACACTGCAATCACCTGAAGGCCTGGGTAGGTCACACATTGCTGGGTGGGGCCCAAGGATTTGTGTTTCCGCTGAATTCCCAGGTGATGCTGCAGGCCTAGGGCTTACTGGGAGACCACTGGGCTAGGTTTAGCACTCAGAGAGAGACCTTCCTGGAGATGGCCACGGCTGTGAGACTCTAGCCCTGTGTCCTGAAGAAGTGTCCTTTCTCCCTCTGGAAAGGCCCCATGCATGGAGCTCCCACTGGGAGCTCTGTCACCCCTGAGTCAAAGCAGTTCTGGGCTGAGGTATCCTGGAGGGATGTGGAGGACAGTGCTGACTCCCCTCTGCTCCCAGGAACTGGGGCCCTCTTACAATGGTGCTCAGGTCAAGTAAACAATCTATGGGAAGCTCCATCATGACAGTGCGTCTAGTTTTAAAACCCCACATGCCTTCAAATGAGGGCCTTACAGATCACCTGAACGCTGGTTTAAGGGCTGTTCAGAACTTCCTACTCACAGGTCTCCTCCACCCAGGAAACAGAGATCCAGACCTGAAGCCTTCAAAAGCCTTGTTTGCAGGATTCACATCGTCTTATGCGTTAAACTGTCAAAGGCTGGATACAGGGGGAAACTTATCTGCTATTTTCTCCTCTTTCCTTACCCAGCATTTTGTTTTGATTTTAAAAACTAGTTTCTTTTGTTAAAATTTCACTTCTCAGAACAAAAGTATCCTCAGACATGACTTAAGATTGTAACTAACTGGCTTCTGGACTAGGGCTAAGTTACCCGGCAGGTGGGCAGTCCAGCTTCTCTTCCGTCAATGTTGTGCTCAAAGTTGAGGTTCACCATGTGTGTCCTGAGGATCGTTACAGATTTGGACATGAGTCTCTGTTTCCCCACTCTAAAAATGAGAATATTAACCTCAATCTCAGAGAGTTGTAAAAATTACCTCTCCTCTGGTTCAAGAAACCCAGGCTCACCACACAGGCCCTGGTGAGAGGTTGGCCCTGTCAGGACGGATGGAGACTCTTCACAGGCCATCTTCCTTCTAAGGGGCTGGGGGACACGCCCCCACCCCTCTCTCCGTTTGAGCAGAGCAGGGCTCAACAGATAATCTTCCTTCTGTCCCTCTTGGGGGTGATGCACGAGAGCTGTGTGCAAAGGCCCATGTGCAGGTGGGCTCTCCTGTGATGTTAAGCAGCCCCACCTGCAGTGGGTCATGGTCTGTCTCAGTGGGCTTCTTAGGTCAGGTACAAACAGGAATGCTTGCAGGGTTACCCTGTATATTAATTCTCTGGGACACCCAGGGGCTGGGACAGTTTTGTGTGCTCTGCTCTCTGCCTGGTATTAGATGCCAAGATGAATTTAAAGGGAGCACACAGGGAGGTCTGTGTCTGAACAGCAGCAAATCTGAGAACCAAGGGGCAAGAGCCAAACTAATCTGCCAGCAGTGGCATTTTCTCCCTTTGCTACACAGTAGTGCCAGCAACATACGATATTCTTGGAAGGGGATGGGATTCTTTTTTTTCCC